GAGGTGGCAGAATCTGACATTACTTTCTTGATTTTAACAAAAATAATGGTTTTGTAAGATCAATTTTAGGGTAAGAGATAAAGGGTATAGGGAAACTCTGAACTAGATAACAGTGCTGTAAACATAAAATTATTTCCAAATAGTACCACTGTACCACTATCCTTCCATTTTCATCAATTTGCTTGAGCGGGCACAGTAATGTCTTCATCTTGAGAATTGTTGTTACTGTGTTTGGTATATTGAATATGTCATGGGCAGCTTGCCAGGCTTTGCCACTGGCGAGATACTCTCAGTAGCTTGCTGGGCTATCTGAGAGGGGAGGAGGAATCGAACCCGGCTCGGCCAGGCTGGCTGTGCACAAGGCAAACACCCTACTGCTGTGCTGTCGCTCCATCCCAGTGGCACAATTGTTTAGCATGCGGTACTTCAAAATAGTAAGAATTAAAATAAATCCATTTGGGGGCAGAAGAGATACCTCAGTTGGCCAGTACAGGCATTAGATGCAAGAGGCTTGGGTTCAATTCCTGGCACCACAATCCCCTCTATATCCCTCCCCCCCCCCACACACACACACACTGCCAGAAGCAATTCTAAGCACAGAGCTGGAAGTGGCCCATGGCACCTCCCAACCAAACCCTACCCCATCTTCTCCCCTATCCGCCTCCCCCCCCCACCACAAACACACACACCAAAACAAACAAGCACAAGCAAACAAATGAAAAACAAAGAACTAGTCCCCCTAAAAACAAAACCAAAAACACAAAAGAGAAAACTTAGAAAATTTTTTTTCCTAAAGAAAAAACTAACATGATGGGATTTAGAAAGGTTGATTCTGTCCTATCTTTGGAGGAAAGTGGTTACTGTGCTTTTACTGTGTTCGGTATACATTCTCTTAGCTAGATGATGGTTATGGCCTCAAATGACCTCAGAGCAGAGGTGAACCTTCACTGCACCCTGGTTTGGGAATGGCATCTGTTTAGGAACTTGAAGGGGGAAGTAGAGATCATTAATAGTTTGATGAAACTTATCATCTGCTCCAGGAAGTATTCTCCCTAACCTGTTCTCCTTGGAAAATCCAGGCTAGTTTTCAGTGATTGACAAAATGTTGAATGGATAGCTGAGTAAGTTAAAAAAAAATTAGGTCAACTGATAATATTGAGGAGTAGTGTAATTCAAAATTTTATAAAGTGATTGAAAATATATCAGCTCCTTCATATCTTTTTAATACACATATACAAAAATAGATGGGGAAAAACTGAGCATGCTTGGAAAGATTAAAGATAAGGCATTAATTTTCAAGTTTCTAAGATTATTTTGTGCAGAAAAAATTTATAAATGTGTTTTATTAAATATATTACATTGGAATAAATAAATATTCCACCTGCAACAAGAAACTAATATTCCAGTTATGTGGTAATAGCCTCAAAAGCCTTAAACTTTTAGTTTTATCAGTGAAACAATTCTGTAGTTATAGATCTCTATTAATGCAAAATTTGGTGCTGTATAAATATCAAAAGAGTTCATTTTATTATTTTTTCTTTTTTAGTATAATCTGAGGTTTTATTAAATCTTGGTCAGTAAATCTTAAAAAAGGCAGTACACAATGAGAAAATAATATATATTTAAGACATTTGGAAAAGCAGTTAAATGTTTTGTGCATGTTTAATAAATATCACGCAAGTCATTGATATTCAGAAAGGTGTAATTATTGTCACTGGTAGAAGAATCCTATTTCCTAGCTCAGTTCTTCCTTGCAACCCCAAATTATTTAGTCACTAAATAGGGGGTTTCCCTAAAATGACTTAGGTACAGATATTTGGTGCTTGAACTAAAAGAGTTCATTTTAATGTTGATATTTTTACTTCAGCATGGACAAACAAAACTATTGATTTATAGGCTGTAGCCTGAATCTTGTCTCTGTCAGGTAAATAACTTTGGGCAAGTTATTCAAAAATTTGTGACTCAGTTCACCCTTTGGTAGAATAAAAAAAAAATAATAATAAAGGCCCTCCCGTTGATCGTCGATTTGCTCGAGCGGACCCAGTAACGTCTCCATTGGAGACTTTTGTTGTTACTGTATTTGGCATATCGAATACTCTCGGTAGATTGCCAGGCTCTCCAAGAGGGGCGGAGGAATCGAACTCGGGTCGGCCATGTTGGCCGCTTGTAAGGCGAACGCCCTACCCGCTATGCTATCGCTCCAGCCCCTTGGTAATAAAGGTAGAATAGGCTTAAATATAAATTTATGGAATTATCATAAAGTTTAAATTATTTATTTGGGGTTGGAGAGATAGTACATGGGTTAAAGTGTTTGCCTGCTTGTAGCTGACCCTGGTTTGATCCTTGGCATTATATATGTTTCCTTGAGTACCTCCAGGAGTGATCCCTGAGCACAGATCAAAGAGTAAGCCCAGAGCCCTGCCAGGGTGGGCGCAGAAAAAACAAAACAAAAATTATGTATTATTTGCATATATATGTGTATATAGATATTACCATATGTAATACAAATCCCAGGACATAGTAAATAGTATTACAGTAAGTAATATATTACTCAAACCAGAATTGTTTTTTATCTTAATCTTATTGTACCTTTTAAATTTAATTGCTATTTTACTATTAGGAATAAGGAAGTATGATCTCCTGGATAAGAAGTCATTTTTATTTTATGTAGTTATTTTAGTATCCCTTAGAATAATGCTTGGCACATAATAAATGCACTTAAGTTTGTTAAATATGAAAACTAGTGAAACTAAATATGACCTGCATAAAAATTTTAATGTATTTTTCTGTTTGTTGAAAAATCATTTTTCTATTGAGCACTAGATCTTAGCGGGAAAAACTCTTGGCAGTTTGGTTTTTCTCCATTTGGATGGCTCTACACAGGTACCTTTTTGTGTCTAAATGTTATGAATGTCTAGCTTAAAACAAACAAACAAACAAATTGGAATGTCTCTTGGATATTTTAAAAAGTAGTTTCAAATAGAATTTTTCTTAACTTTTTTTCTTATAAAAACAAAACCTTTTGCAGTTTTTTGAAATTTATCCTTTCTAAGTGAGAAAATTACAGAAAGTAACATTTCCTTTATTCTATGCGAACTATGATCACTTGATCTTGACTTCCCGTTAATGATTGTTTTGCTGGAGCAGGTGCCAATAATGTCTCCATTCGTCCCTGTTGCATGCTAGTGTAGCCCAGTGGGGTCTGTTCATTCTAGGAACACAAAGAGCCTCAAACTGATCGTTCAAGGTCTTGACGAAGTAGTCTGACCATCTTGTTGGTGAGCAGCCACCTGGTCTTTTAATGCCCCTGGAATCCAGTTGGTAATGGCTCTAGCCCAGTGGTCATTTCCAAATCTCATTACGTATACAGCCCATCTGATTTTCAATGCCTTGGCAAACGAGACAGCGTTCCTGATTCTAGATCGTTGACGGAGGTCAGAACTCCGGATTCTTTCTCTCATTTAAGTGAAGCGTGAAACTTCAAGCATAGGTCTTTCGATTCCTCTTTGGGAGACCTGAATAGTGTTCTCCTCCTGTTTTCGTAGGGCCCAGGTCTCTAAGGCATATGTCAATGCAGGAAGAACAGTTGAATCGTAGAGATGTGCCCAGAGCCAGAGATTCTTCGTCCTCTTAGCTATTTCTTCTATGTTCTTGAAGGCATTCCAAGCCGCTCTCTTCCTCCTGCACAACTCAGGTGCCAGGTCATTCATCATGATGACTTCTCGACCTAGATACACATACCTGTTGCATTCAGAGATGGTCGTTCCATTGAAAGCGAATGGAACGTCAGGAACGAGACTGTTTCTCATAAACATTGTCTTCATGAGATTCATCTGGAGTCCGACCTTTCCACACTCACGGTTGAAGTCGGCCAGCATTTGTGCCACTTGGCTAATGTTTAGTGTTATCAGAACAATGTCATCAGCAAAGCGGAGATGGTGTAGTTGCTGACCGTCTATCTTCACTCCCATTCCTTCCCATTCCATCATCGCATGACGTTCTCAAGTGTGGCACTGAAGAGTTCTGGTGAAATGGTATCACCCTGCTGAACCCCTCTCTTGACATCGATGATTGCCCGATCTGCCTACTGTCTGTCATCTACAAGCTGTTCACTAGAGTCATCCTGAATAGGATTGTCAGAACACTAGATGAAGGACAACCATGTGAGCAAGCCAGGTTCTACAAAGGATTCAAGCACGATCGACCATATCCACACGATAACCAAGCTCATTGAGGTTTCTTGAGAGTTCAAGATGCTGCTCTGTCTAACATTCATTGATTTAAAGAAGGTCTTTGATTCTGTTGAGACGGAAGCGGTCATCGAAGCTCTAGCCAATCAGGGCATTCATACTCAATACATCAGGTTCCTTTGTGAGCTGTATTACGGATTCACTACCAGGGTCTCACCATTTTACAAAGAAGTGATCATCGATGTCAAGAGAGAGGTTCGGCGGGGTGATACCATTTCACCAAAACTCTTCAGTGAACTATAATATGAAGAGCTAAATAGTTATGTATTTTGAAAAAAATATTATTTAGTAAAGATAAATGCTTACACTTTGATGAGAATTTTTTTAGAATTTGGAAAACATGGTAAGCTTATTTTTGATATATCAGAATAGCTGAACATATAATTTTTAATATTGCAATGGAAAGAATATTTATATTACATTTATTTAGAAATATTTTTATTATTATTATAAATGATAAAAGAAAACTATTAGTTGTCTAAGTTCTTTAAATACACACTAAAATACTTCAAAGGTGATAAACAGAAATGAAGCTAAGTAGAAATTAATTTTGAATATTCAGAAATTGCTTGCTTTTGATTCTTTCAATAGATTTTAGAACTGGAATAAGTGAGCAGATTTTAATTCATTTATAGATTTTGTACAACTCATAACCCATGTTCGCATCGTTTTCTTCATAAATCCTGAAAATATGTTTTAGTTATGTGTATTTTTGTAATAATAGATATTTTCCCTCATCCTTCATTCTAGGCATTGAAGAAACAAGAAGTTAGAGCAGAGGAGAATGATGGAGTCATGAAAAATAAGCTAAGACAAACTGAAACCGAGAAGAGCCAAGTAAGATTTTGGAATTTACCCTTTGAGGAGTAATGCAGTTTGGACCCAGTGCTCTTCACAGCATGTCTTGAAGAGTGTCCTTGAGATCTCTTAGAACACAGTGAAGCCCTTATGTTTTCATGGGGACACCCTTGGCTCAAGGCTCTGCCATGCTCTGCTTCTTACTCTTGGCCACTTTCCTTTTCTGAAGACGAGTTGTTAGCTACCCTGCCACCTGGCCACTTTCCTTTTCTACAGAGGATTTAAACAATTCTGTTCCTTACTGGGGAATACTGAAAGCTGGGGCTTGCTTCTGGGTTAGGAAAGTGTTGCTGTTTCAAGGATGGGTATTTTGGATAGATTTCATTATAGAAGATGGGAATAGTTCTGAAAAAAAATCATCTATTCTTCTGAAATATATATTTTATATATTTATGAAAAGTACAGCTCTGAAAAAAAAATCTCTTTACACCTCTGAACTTACAAAGCCATTAGGTTTCAGAGGTTAAACAAATATGCCTCAATGTTCAAATGAGTTTAATTAAGGATGAGCCTAAGGTAATTGATAATAAAGTGAAAATTTGCTTTTATGTGATATTCTTTATCACTGTTTCTGTCAGCCACAGCCTCCTGGCAAGCTACCGAGAGTATCTCGCCCGCACGGCAGAGCCTGGCAAGCTCCCCCGTGACATATTCGATATGCCAGACACAGTAACAACAAAGTCTCCAATGGAGACGTTACTGGGCCCGTTCGAGCAAATCGATGATCGACGGGAGGGCCTTTACCTTACCTTAACCTATGTTAAGTTACATGTTGCTTTCATGCCTTGACTGTAAGCAATCTGTCAGGCCATCATGTTTGCCCTTTGGATTTGAAACCATTGATATTATCTAGGAATCATGACTGATATGAGTCTGGTCTAATTTTGATGTAGTTTTGACTGAAGTGTGACTTCTTTATAGAAATAAAACAACAGGTTAATACTTTTGAATGGTTTTTGTGATTCTCTGTGGTTGTTCCTCTATGATTATTTTGAAATAGCTGTGGGTTCATAGGGAATTATAAAATATAATGTACAGAGAGGTTCTGTGTATCCTTTAGTCATCTTTCCTCAGTGGTAATATTTTTTATAATTTCTGTGCAAATCCAGACTAGGAAATTGACCTCCTTACAATTCATAGAACTTTTTTTTTCTTCCTGCTTTCATCAGCTTTATGTATATGTATTTGTGAGGACTGTTGTACATATATATTTCTTCCCAGTTTTATCTCCTATAGAGTCATGTTATCATGGCATTAATAAAAATATATAACTGTTTCATCAATTTACTTGCTTTCTTCCACATTCCTGATAACTACTATGTGTACATTTTTAGAGGACTATAGGAAGGAAGTTTCTTCAGATGAAATGATAATATTGGATAATTTAAAATCTTAGCACTTAACATCTTAATATAAAATTATGGCTTCACTTACATAATTTTATGGTTACAAAATTCATGCTTGTCTTAGTATATGTGAGCTGTGAATTTTTAATAAACGAGTTGCCATTCCATTATATTTTTCAACTTGAAGTAAACTGGCACATTCAGACTTTGATGGGTACTTAGTCACCTAAGTGGCATTTTTTTGGTGAATTTTTACCTAATAGCAATTTTCAAAGTAATCTTAAATCCTTATTCTGAACATACATGGTTGAAAAATTTAGAAATATTAATAACGTTGGTAACACTAGAAATTGAGTTATTAGATCACTGACATTTTTATTGCAGTTCAGTTCTCGACACTGCAAGTACTAATTTAAAGAAAAAAATGCTATGGAACTTAGATTAAAATGATTAAGGACTGGAAAGAATCGTGGAGCCTGTCTAATATAAAATTCTTATTTTAGAGTTGACAGAGAGGAGACATAGAGATGAGAAGCTGTAAACAAACATAGTTGAAATGGAACTGACTCACTTCCAGACCTCCTGAGTTCTGGTTTACTTTATAGTATGCAATAACATTATTTTAATGAAACTATTAATGTGTGTTTATAGCCAGGTGTCTAGCCTTTCATGTTAGCTATAGTTATCTTCTCCAGACTTTACTTTTCTCCAGTTAAACTGTGACCATAATAATTTGGTTGTCTTCTGCCCCATTATACAATTTTCTTTATCTCTTTTTGAAACTCTAGCTTGAACAGGAATTGGAGCTATCGCGAAGGTTATTGAATCAATCAGAAGGCAGCAGAGAGACACTTTTGCGACAAGTAAGTCTCTGCAAACTCTGATAATCTACTTTTAAATAAAATTAGAATTGGGACTTTGTGAATACATTTGTGAATGGAGAACAAGATGGGTTTAGAGTAAATTTTGTTCTGTAGAATGCACATTAGCATACATAAGCAGAACTTGAAATCCTATCAGGAAGTTTCACAGAAAGGAGTTGCACACAACAGCAGCCCAAGTTCTTGTTGCAGTGTGTCTTGCTATTGCTGTTTTGATGTAGGATATCTTTTTTTTTGTTTTGTTTTGGGTCACACCCGGTGATATACAGGGGTTACTCCTGGCTTTGCACTCAGGAATTACTCCTGGCAGTGCTCAGGGAACTATATGGGATGCTGGGAATCAAATCCGGGCTGGCTGCATGCAAGGCAAACACCCTACCCGCTGAACTATAGCTCCAGCCCCAGCTTTATCTCTATCTCTATCTCTTTCTATCTCTATCTATCTCTATCTCTGTCTTTATCTCTATCTCTATCTCTGTCTCTGTCTCTGTTTCTATCTCTATCTCTATATTTATCCATCTACCCATCTGCATCTATATCTATATCTATCTATATATCTATATTGGTCTGGAGTGATAGCACAGCAGGTAGGACATTTGCTGACCTGGTCGGCCCAGGTTCGATTCCTCCACCCCCCTCAGAGAGCCGGGCAAGCTACCGAGAGAATCTTGCCTGCACGGCAAAGCCTGGCAAGCTACCCATGATGTATTTGATGTGCCAAACACAGTAACAAGAAGTCTCACAATGGAGATGTTACTGGGCCTACTCAAGCAAATCGATGAACAATGGGAAGACAGTGCTACAGTGCTATATCTATATTGATATTTTATTTTGGGTTGCACGGCTGTGCTCAGGGATTACTCCTGGCTTGTTTTCAGGGGATCACTCTTGTCAGATCCTGTGGGAACCATATGCAGTGCTAGGGATGGAGCCCAGATCGGCTGCATACAATGAAAGCATCTTGACTGTTGTACTGTCTGGCCCTGGATTTATCTCTCTTAACTAACCAATGTAAACGTAAGACTGGTTTGTGTAAATTTTCCCTGGAGCTTAATTTTCAAGAAGGCACTAGAAGATGAGGGAGGAGAATAAAGAAATAAAATATCTTCACATGTTACTTTGAGTCTGTCATTTTCTTATGTTTGTGTTTTCAAGATGCTAACTGCCCCCTTATAATCAAAGCTAAAGCTTAATTTTAAAACTCAACATTTCACATTCCATTAACCCTTAATAGGAATTTGGTGCTTCTAATATTTAAAGATCAGTTGTATATATGGACATTTTACATACATTGGATAAAAGGGCATGTGTGTTTTAAAACAGCCTCATTATCTGCCTTTAAACTGAACTTTTATATTCCTGTTTTGAGGTGTGTGTTACATAACTCACTACATAATAATTGGCTCAGTAGGCAAAGATGTTTTGCATTGTATATGTTTAGAAGCAGTATTACCTTTTGACAATTAGTGCTGAATATATCTTAGCACCTATTTTACAAAAAAAAGAAGATATTCATTAATTGGCAGACAGTGGTTACCTGAAGTTAATGTTGGAAGAATTTATATTTGATTGAATCTTATTTTTGCATTCTGTTCTTTTTTTTTAATTTTGATTTTTTTAAGATTATACTGATTTATTTATTTATTTATTTATTTAATTTTTATTAGTGAAACACCATGAGGTACAGTTGTAGACTTACAAATTTTTGTGCTTGGGTTTCAGTTATACAGTGATTGAACACCCATCCCTCCACCAGTGCCCATTTTCCACCACTACTGATCCCAGTGTCCCTCCCACCCCCATCCCCCCATCCCGCCCTGCCTCTGTGGGGGAAAAAGCAGCTCAGAAAGAGTAGGGCGTACCTAATTTTGATTTTTTGAGCTTCAATTTTTCATTTCTGATTTTACTTTTAGAAGCATGGTATTTCTTTTTCTTTTATTTTACTTTTCATATTCCTTTTTTCCCCCTTTTCTTTCTCTTTCTTTTGTTATTGGGCCACACTCAGCAGTAGTCAGGGCTTATTCCAGGAGTCACTTTAGGTGGCACTCAGGGAACATATACAGTGCCAGGAATTGAACTAGGATCCGTCTCATGCAAGGCAAGCACCTTACACCTGTAATATCTTTCTGACTGGAAGTGAGGTATGTCTGTGACTTTACATGAAGCTTTTTGTCAATTTCAAATTTCTTACTGGTAACTGGGAACCTACCTGTGTAATGGGCAATTTGCTAGTCTCTAAGAAAGACAAAGATTAATAAAATAGTCCTTGACTTTAAGAAGTTTATGGTTCATTCAACAGCACATGTTGTATAGTTTTGAGCAGTATTTTGACATAAAATTATGCTAGATCTTGATCACCTCACTTGAATTCACCAGCCAATAAACCATGTTTACATGAGAGAAATTAAGTGAAAAATACTAAAAATATAAAATATTTAGGTACTTAGGATGAATATTAGCAGAGCACACTGAGATCAAACTAGATTTTTTTTTTTTGGTATAAGTAAATGCCACATTTTAATGTCACTGTGGACACTATGGGATAAGACACTTATTGTGGAAGGAATGAAAATAATAAGAAATGGAGCAAGGGACTTTCATGCTGTACTTGGCAAGCGAAGAGATTGATTTGGCTTTAACTTTTGTTTATACTAGCTCAATAGAAGTATTTGGGAATAACACTGGGAAAATAATTTGTTATTATTTTTCTGCTTTCATAACTGAGAAAAGTCTCATTTTTGACAATGTGTTTAGGTAGAAGAACTTCGTATGCAACTTATGAAAGCAGAAGGTGATCAAAAAGGGTTACAGCCTCAAGTACCTCATATTTCCAAGCAACAATTAGACCATCAGGATGAACGTGGAGATGACCGGAAGTTTAGGAGAGGTATAAATCTAATTTATAAATGTGCGGGCATTTGAGCACTTTTTAAAGTCCTTCCATCTTAGCATTGCTTTCCTTAAATTTTATGCCTATTTCTTAGTCTATTACAAAGGTAAAAAGGTAAAGGCCCTCCCGTTGATCGTCGATTTGCTCGAGCGGGCCCAGTAACGTCTCCATTGGAGACTTTGTTGTTACTGTGTCTGGCATATCGAATACTCTCGGTAGCTTGCCGGGCTCTCCGAGAGGGGCGGAGGAATTGAACTCGGGTCGGCCATGTTGGCCGCGTGTAAGGCGAACGCCCTACCCGCTGTGCTATCGCTCCAGTCTATTACAAGGTTTTTCAAAAGTTATGATTTATTTAGCATTCAGCTTCTTGTAACAGGCTTAATTTTTTCTTTTTATTTATTAATTTTATTGAATCACCGTGAAAACAGTCACAAAGCCTTTCAGTTCAAGTCTCGGTCAGTCATATAATGATCAAACACCATTCCCTTCACCAGTGCACATTTTCCACCACCAAGAACCCCAGTTATACCCCCTTCCCACCCACCCCCTGCCTGTGCGGCAGGTTTCCACTTTACTCTCTCCCTACGTTGATCACATTCAATATTATGACAAAAGACCCAACATTGTTATTTGGAATTTTCCCCAACATTCAGACCTGCCACAAAGACATCATTAGAAAATTTGTTTTCTAATGTTGATTATGAAGAGCATATGATGTCGTGTGGCCACAATAGCAGCCACGCGAATTTGGATTTCTGATATTTTAGTAATTAACCTAGAGTTATTATTGCCAGAAGCCCCTGGGTTCCAAGATTGGTATGTGTGCCTCTGGGATCATGGTAGGTCAGAAGTTGGAGGAGGTGTTTGAGGGTGGCAACCCGGAGCATTGTCCTTGTGGGGAGCAGGGCCGATTCCACCGCTATCCTATGAAGCCCCATGTGCCTCGTCAATGCAGTCTCATACCTGGCTGTTCATTAGGCTCAAAAAGATGCAGGCCACCATGTTGCCACCACAAAGGGGCACAGGCGGAGGGACAGACACCCTTCCCCTCCCAGGGCGGCATAGCACTATAGTTAAATACACAGTCCAGATGTATTTTGGTTGGGCATTATCTTTTGCTCAGATTTTCCCACAACAGGCTTAATTTTTAAAAAATTGTTCACCACAGTATCAAGTTGAACACAAAGATTTCCAGTACACACTCTGCTCTCATGCACAGTTTCTCTCATTATCAGTTTTCCCCAATTAGAAGAGTATATTTGTTATAACTGATGACAGATACAGACAATACAGATATGTCATTATTAGACAAAGTCCAGGTTTTACACTTGGATGATTCTTGTAGTAATGCATTTAGAGGATTGAAGAAATATGCAGTAATTTGTATCCACCATTATAACTTCAATGCCCTAAGCATTCTCTGTCCTGTTTATTTATAACTCTTCCATGCTCCCCCCCAACCTTTTTCAGTGACCAGTGATATTTTTTACTGTCTTCTTAGTCTTCCCCGTTACAGGATCTTATATAGTTGGAATCACAGAGCCTGTATCATTTGCAGATTAGAATTTTTTTCTACTTAGTAATAATGCCTTTAAGAATATTTTGGGTCTTTCTATAATTAAATACTTTTTTGTTTGTTTTTTGCTTTTTGGGTCACACCTGGCACAGGGATTACTCCTAACTCATGTACTCAGAAATTGCTCCTGGTGGTGCTCGGAGGACCATAAGGGATATTGGGAATCGAACCCGGGTCAGCTGTGTACAAGGCAAATGCCCTACCCGCTGTGCTATTGCACCAGCCCCTAATTAAGTACTTTTTAAAAAAATTTTAAAGCTTTGAATATATTCTGGAGCTGTACCACATATAGTACACCTATGTGTCACTTTGGGTTGCTTCCAAGTTTTGAGCAGTTATGAGTAAAGATAAATACGATAGAGTATGTTTGCTGTGTCATATAGTAAGAGTATATTAGTTCTGTAATATTCCATCCTGGGCCTGGGAGATTGTTCAAAGGATTGAAACCCATGTCTTGCTTGTGGAAGTCACATTTGATTCCTCACACAGCATGGCCTCCCCCAGCACTGCCAAGTGTGGCCCTGTCACCGCCCAGCATTGCCTAGCACCTTCCTCGAAAGTGTCAGCCCCACCCAGAATCCTGGGGAATCCTGGGGCTCTAGTATTACTGCAGGGTCCTCCTCCCCCAATATTTTAAACTGTCTTTCACACTGACTGTATCATTTATGTTTGCAAATTCAGTGTTTTCTCTACTTGAAGTTTTGATGTTTTTCAGTTCTCAGAACTGTGTATCTTATGGCACTTTGCCTTAGGCAAAGCCAGCACAATTAGTAGTAGAATTCTTTCCAGCTTCCTATTTCTGTTCTTAAATGTGTATGTGAGTGTATTGTCCTTTTACCTATATCGGAAGCAAACCTCTTCTTCATTTTCTATAATTTTCAATATCTTCAAAATTCTGTATGTTTGCTATTTGGAAATTGGTGGCAAAATTAATCATGGTGCAGAACTAGCAATAAGCCATATGACTAGCTTTCTTTCATTTTTTAATTCTTTTTCTTTTTCTTTTTTTTTTTAATTTTTGGCACACCTAGCAGTACTCAGGGCTGACTCCTGGCTTTGTGCTTAGCTATCATTTCTGGCATTGTTTGGACCATGTGCCATGTTGGGTATCGAATCCAGGCTGCATGCAAGGCAAGCATCTGACCCGCTATATTCTTTCCCAAGCCCAACTGCCTCAATCTTATATGGATTAGGAATATTATGTGTTCTAAAAATGTGAAAACGCCTTTTCAAAGGTGTTGGTTTAGTTTGTGGAACTTAATGACTATATATTTCTTTTTGAAATATAGATTCACCAGAAATGATAATATTGAGATTTTCTAAGGGTTTATAATATGTTAGTCTGGATTATCCAGTGTATAATTTATTTCAGCAATGAACTTTTCTACTGAAAATGCCTATTGAAAAAATACTTGTGTTTGGTATACTATTAAATTAAGAAAATGTAAATATTTTCTTGATTTTTCTCTTTATATAAATCAATGTGTAGAATTTCCCTATTGCCAGGTAGTTTTGATTAAATATTTTCATGTTATAAAAATTACTTGTTTCATGTGTTATATATTTATATATTTATAATTTTATATTATTAAATATTTAATATTTTAAAACTTATTTTTAAAAGGAATATCCTAAATTGTTATTCATCTTTTAAGACTTGTAATTTGTTTTTTGTTTGATTAAATGTAGTTATTTTGGTTGTAAGTCTTTTAGGACTAACAGAATCACACTTTTCTTACCCATTTGTAGGTTTTACAGAATCTCCAGGTTTCTTTATCAATGTGATAATGGACTTCTTCACCTCTTTTAACAATTCTAGATTTTTTTTATTTTATAGGATTACTTATATTACTTATAGCATTCTACACAAGAAGTGACAATTATAGTCACACTCTAGCTGTATTTGTTCCTCTGCCAACTGCAAAAATAACTTTCACATCTGCTTTTAAAATTGACTTTGTGGTTCACTAGCGGTCTTCTCAGTCAAATTTAAAGAAAATTTTCTCACTATTTATCTTTTTTTATCTCTTGTTTATTTCCTCCTTGAAATTCTTCCACTGGAAGAATTGGTGCAAGGCAATAACCCTACCTGCTATATTATGGCTCTGGCCCTGGAGAAACCCTTTTTAGACACAAGTCCTTCATGTTACTCTGTTTTTGTTTTTTGTTTTTTTCCAGGGGGTGGTGGGATCTCCCAAAAGATGTTCAGGATCCTTGGGGGCCCTTTTTTTTTGGCAATCTTTAGCTGAGTCTGCAGATGTGGATGTGGTATTGCTTGAGCTGTCTGTGCTAGGGCTTACCCAGGCCACCCCAGGGGCAGTGTTTGGGGGCCTCCAGGGCTGGACCTGTGATACTCAGGGGACTATGTGATGCAGGGGATTGAGCCTAGGTTGTCCACATACAAGGCATACTCCTTAATTCCTGTACTGGCTCCTGGCCCATGTCCCTCCTTTAATGAAAATCTCTCATGATTTATTGAGTTCTCTCTGTTTGTAAGACATTATGCTGCTTATTTTGGATAATGAGTAAATACAAATTATCAAATAACTGAACGTAGGTTGGACACCTAACAGATGCAAAGAACAAATCTTGATCAAATTCTGATTGCTCTTTTTATGCATATTCACTTTAGGGGGATAGTTATTTCCATGTATTTACTCACTGTCATGATTACAATGGTAGAGTTGAGCACTGTGTGACAGAAATCATGTGGTCAAAATATTTATTGTCCTCCCTTTTATAGAAGATGGGTGCTAATTCTTGATCTCTAGGATAATTTTTAAGTCTCCTAGTAATGAATAAACTCTGCTGACTTTCCCTCTTTGTCCTCTCATTTATGTTAGCTTTAAACCTGAAACTATTGTGTGATTACCTGAATATAAATTCAGTTTTGTGTCCTTGTGTACAATACAGTTTCTTTTCTCAGGACTATCATCCCAATTCTATCCACTTTGCTTGGTGAAATTTTCCATCCGGTCCTGAAATCTTAACATAGTTTCTAATTTTCCTATCCCACTTTCTCACCAAAATAGAGCTGATTTACAGAGTTACAATAGAGATGTAAAATGTTAAATTAAAAAAAAGTGTAGAACTTTTCTGAAATAAATTTTACTTGAAATCAGCCAAGTCCTATTTCATATTAATGTGGCATTATACTGGATGACAGCACAGTGGAGATGATGTAGGAAACTGTTCAATATAGGAAACTAAACCAGCGAATTCTGAAAAAGTTGGCTATCGATTCTGGATCATATTTGCTGGAATATCAAAGCCTCACAGTTTTGTACCAATTGAAAGAAAGTACATGGTCCTGTGAGTAAAGAATAACAATCAAACTTTCCATTTTCTCTTCGAAGGAATTGAGTGGGGAAAAGAGGATCTGGAGAAGCAGATGTCAGATTTGAAAGTACAGCTGAGCTTCAACGCAATGGCATCTGAGTTAGAGGAAATGAAGCGGTGCATGGAGCGAAAAGACCGGGAGAAAGCACATTTGGCAGCACAAATAGAGGTGACTTTGCTATTTTTAAGCCGTATGTAAAGTAATCCAGTTTTGTTTCGTAGAATTGCTTACTGAACTTTTAATATCAAGATTATGATAGTCTCTCAACTTGTTTGTTTTCACATAGTGTCAATTTATGTAAGTGACTGATGATGGGAAATTTCTGTAGGTTCATTTCTCTTTCATTTGAATCTCAGAGCCTGGACCAGTTAAGCCTGGAAATCTTTCTGTTCTAGTTGCAATTTAGCTCTTTCTATAGGCAGAAGGGATCTTTCTTCTCCGAAGGTGCAGTGAGTTGCCATTTATTTTGAGGGTGAAATTGGTTGAAGGCACAGGAAAAGAAAAGGAATTACTGATATTTCTTTTTTTGGGATTCATAAGGTTTTCAAATCTGTCACAGTTTGAGGTAGAGGTGTGATGTCTGCATGTTAATGCAGAACTTAGAGTTGTGTAGTAATCATGAATGATGTGGTAATCATGAATGAAGTATAAGTAGGCAGCTACCATTTCCTCCTGCCTTTTATCTGGTGAAGATGGGATAATTATCAGAAATTTTTAAAAATCAAAGGGAAGAACTGCACAAAAAGGAAATGGCTTAATTCCAATTATAATTATGCAAATTAGATCAAACAGAGACGCCACTTGGAAATAGATATGTATCTGTCCTCTGCTGTATCTGTTTTTATTAGCGAAGTTGTTTTCTAATTGTAATAAGTTGACACATTTGAGGAGATTGCTAAATTGTAATGAAAGGTAGAAAATTTATGTTAAAAGCACCCAACATAATGTAATCCAAAGGAAATAGTAAAAGTCTCCCCCATCGGGTTTCTCTTTCATCTTGTCAGCATGTCAATCGAAAATGTATTTTAGATTTAGTCCAGATTCAGATAGCAAAGATAATGAAAATTGACATATATTTTGCATAGCCCTCTGCTTATAAAGACTTACTTAATAAATACTTAAGGGAAATAATCTTAGAGCAATGGTAATTATAGGACTTTTAATGTTTTTCTTCTTTATGGTTGTTATTTTAGTGCTTGATCTTATTGACAAAAGTGTTAAAATATGATCATTTTGCTTAAGTATTTAAAGCAATCTATAAGTATAAATATCAAAGGCATATAAATTCCTGTGCTAAACCGTTTATCTCTTCATGTTAGCCTGTCTTGCCTCTTTTACTACCTGCCTCTCTCTTTCCTGCCTTCTCTCCATCTCCCATTGAAATACCCCTGAGAGACATTTAAAAAAAAAATCTCAGATATATGGAGACCAGAGAGATAATACAGGGGTTTAGGGCCTTACCTTTTTAAAATTTTGGTTTTGGTTTTTGGGCCACTCTGGCTGTGCTCAGTGTTTATTCCTTGCTCTGTGCTCAGGGTCATTCCTGGTGGGGCTTGGGGACCGTATAGGGTGCTAGGGATGGAACCCAGACCGGCCTCGTGCAAGGCAAGTGCCTTACCTTACCTGCTTGTACTATCTGTCCAGCCCCAAGACCTTTGCCTTGTAAGTGGCTAACTCTGATTTGATCCCCAGCACCATTTATGGGCAGTAAAGCCCCTTCAGGAGTGACCTCTGAGTACATAGCAGATAGTAAGCCCTTAATATCAACAGGTGAGACTCTCCCTCAGACTCCTCCCAATCTCAAGTATGTAAACTGAAAAATAACTTTTTAAGTAACCTAATGATGCTGTTATTAGAGTCTCCTATGAAAGTTTCCCCTCCATCCCCCCATTTTCACAAGTATTAGGGGAAGAGTTGTTATCTTGTGTTAGTTTGAATTGTATAGGTTTGGTATGAAAGGCAATTGGATTGGGAGGTTGAACATTTACATATCAAGTACCTATTAACTATCTATTACATAACAGGCATTGTTCTAGGTTCAGGTAACAGCAAAGAGCAAATCCCTAGTGTCATATTTCCTATCCCTGTAAAGGTAATGTTATAAAATTGATACAGAAGTCTCTCTGAGTTTGTTTTATGTGTGAGATCAAGTTTATTTTTGGATAGTGAACTGTTTTTCCCTAGATGCCACTGAAAAAGTATCACAAAAATACATTGTTTATGCCTGGAAGAAATGACAGTTTACCAGACTTTTGTATAATTTTAAGCATAATGCTTCATTTTATTTTATTTTTTTTTATTAGTGAAACACCATGAGGTACAGTTACAGACTTACACATTTTTGTGCTTGGGTTTCAGTTATACAATGATCAAGTACCCATCCCTCCACCAGCACCCATCCTCTATCACCACGGGTCTCAGTATCCCTCCCACCCCCCACTCCCCCAATTCTATCCTGCCTCTGTGGCAGAGCATTCCCTTTTGTTCTCTCTCTCTCTCCTTTTGGGTCCTGTGGTTTGCAAGAGAGGCATTGAGTGGCAATCATGTTTGGTCCGTAGTCTACTTTTAGCATGCTTCTCCCACCCTGGGAGGATCCTCCCAACACCCTTTATTTGATGCTTTCTTCTCTATCTGAGCTTCCTTTTCCCCTAGCATGTGTGGCTGGCCTCCAAGTCATGGAGCAAAATTCCTGGTACTAATCTAGGCCACTCCTGGGTGTTAGTCTCCCATTTTGTTGCTTTATGTTCCCCAGATGAATGCAAGCTTTCTGTGTCTATCCAGCTCTTTCTGACTCATTTCACTTAACATGATACTTTCCATGTAACCACTTGTATGTGAATTTCATGACTTCATCTTTTCTAACAGCTACATAGTACTCCATTGTGTAGATGTACCAAAGTTTCTTTAACCAGTCATCTGTTCTCAGGCACTCAGGTTTTTTCCAGATTCTGGCTATTATAAAGGGTGCTGCAATGAACAAACAAGTGCAGATGTCACTTCGACTATACTTTTTTGCCTCTCTGGGATATATTCCCAGGAATTGTATTGCTGGGTCAAATGGGAGATCAAATTTTTTGAGAATCGTCCATACTGCTTTCCAAAAGGGTTGGGCCAGTTGGCATTCCCTTCCTTCCTCCTTATCTTCCTTCCTCCTTCTCCTTCCTTCCTTCCTTCCTTCCTTCCTTCCTTCCTTCCTTCCTTCCTTCCTTCCTTCCCTCCTTCCTTTTTTCCTTCCTCCCAATGATATTCAGGGCCTACTCCTGGTTCTGTGCTCAGGGATCACTCCCTGTGGTGCTATGGGGACTGTATGCAATGTCAGGATCAAGACAGGGTTGCAATTATCCCTGGTACTATTGCTTCAGCTCCATCTCCATTTTCTAACAACTCTTCCATAGAAACTTATTCGTAGTATTGTAAAATTAATGATTTCTATTGAACTTCCTTATTACTGTCCATTTTTCAGTCTTTATTTCAGTTATTCACTGTTTCTATAATAGCTACTTTTTATAGGAAACCTCATCTTTTTCTCTCTGAACACTTTTTGCATTATCACTTGCAAATGACATTCTTGGTTCCCGATCTATCCCTTTGAGCACATCACTAATGTTCTTATGGTAGTTCCATCTCACTTTTTATCAACTTTTCTCAATTATGGGCCACAGGGCTCCCTGTGGTCCTCAGGTTGTTTTAAGGAGGACACAGATAAAGTTCATGAATACCTATTTGACACTAAGGTTGCAGGTCAGCTGCTAGAACAGTTTGGGAATGGGATGGGGCATGTAGAAGAAACCACAAGAAGGAAACATGGTAGAAAGGGGTCCATGGTTGGAAAAATGTTGAAAAACCAACCTCGCTTTATATTAATTTGTATGTTTCCTTTTTTAAAGCATATTTTATTTAAAGGTGAATGAGACCAGTTGTAGTTACTGGTTTTGGCATATCGAATACACAACGGATAGCTTGCCAGGCTCTTCCGTGCGGGCGGAATACTCTCGGTAGCTTACCAGTCTTTCCGAGAGGGATAGAGGCTTTTGGGGCGACCTCTAATCACCCTTGTAAGTGTTACCATACTTGAACCCTATCAAATATGGTAGGACAATTCCGGAAGATGGGTATTTAGTGTCTTATGATATGTCGCGACGGCTGAGTAGTGGAGGTAGTGTCGATAGTGGAAGGCTGCCAGTGGGGTATTTATCTGGGTAGGGTGGGTCTTCTGTGCACAATTCGATCCCTGGGTGGTTGATGGAAGCAGACAGGGCAGGGTAGGGTGGGGCTCATGATTAGAATCCCTTTGTCACCTGTGGTTGGTGGGAGCAAGCAGAGAAACTCTGTCCCTGGGTCCGCCGAGCCTGGAGTCCAAGATCTCAGAGACCGTACTACTGTTCAAGAAGGGAGACATCCATGACATTGGCAACTATCGCCCGATCTGCCTATTGTCTGTCATCTACAAGTTGTTCACTCGAGTCATCCTAAATAGGATTGGCAGAACACTAGATGAAGGACAACCATGCGAGCAAGCCGGGTTCCGCAAAGGATTCAGCACCATCGACCATATCCACATGATAACCAAGCTCATTGGTTTCTCGGGAGTTCAAGATGCCGCTCTGTTTAACGTTCATTGATTTAAAGAAGGTCTTTGATTCTGTTGAGAGAGAAGCGGTCATTGAAGCCCTAGCCAATCAGGGCATTCAAGCCCAATACATCAGGATCCTCCGTGAGCTGTATTGCGGATTCACTACCAGGATCTCACCATTCTACAAAGAAGTGATCGTTGATGTCAAGAGAGGGGTGCGGCAGGATGATACCATTTCACCGAAACTCTTCAGTGGCACCCTCGAGAACATCATGCGACGACTGGAATGGGAAGGAATGGGAGTGAAGATAGATGGTCGGCAACTACACCGCCTCCACTTTGCTGATGACATTGTTTTAATAACACCAAACATCAGCCAAGCGGCACAAATGCTGGCCGACTTTGACCGTGAGTGTGGAAAGGTAGGACTACAGCTGAATCTTATGAAGACAATGTTTATGAGAAACAGCCTCGTTCCTGATGCCCCATTTGCTCTCAATGAAACGACCATCTCCGAATGCAACAGCTATGTGTACCTAGGTTGAGAAGTCAACATGACAAATGACCTGGCACCCGAGCTGCGCAGGAGGAAGAG